ACATCAAAATTTAAAGCACTAGTATGTGTTCTATTTACAAGATATGCTGCAGTTTTTACAGCCTCAACCCAAAATAATTTAGACAAATCAGAACTCAAAAGCATGCATCTCACTTTATTTAATAAAGTCATATTTATTCTTTCAGCTGTGTCATTTTGCTGTGGTGTATATACAACTGTTTTATGTCTTAAAATGTCATATTCTTTACAGAAATTGTCAAACTCATAATTGCAAAACTTCAAGCCATTATCTGTTCTTAGAATCTTTATCTTATGATCAGTTTGGTTTTCTATTTGTGTTTTCCAATTTTTGAAAATAGAAAAAGTTTCATCTTTTGATTTTAATAAGAAAACTCATATTTTTCTAGAAAAATCATCAATGATCAAAAGATAATATCTAAAACCAGTTAAGGTAGACACAGAGGCAGGACCCCACAGATCAGCATGCAGATATTTAAGTATTTGTTTCGATTTATGAGTTCCAGGTAAGAAATGTAATTTAACTTGTTTGCCAATAACACACTATTCACATGAACCAAAATCACCAAGGTTTTGTTATCAAAAACCTCATTTATTTTGTAAACACTTTAAACTTTTCTTGCCAATGTGGCCAAGTCTTTCATGTCATAGTTTAGCTAAAGTAAAACTGTCAGATAAAGCAGCAGCAGTTAAACCAAGTAAAGGCTTTGCTTTCAAGAAATAAAGACCATGTCTCTTAGGGGTGTTTATGATTAAATCAAAGCCCCTAAGAATTTCAATATGTCCTTGACCTAATTTTATGTTGAACTCCATGTCATCCAACATGCCTAGAGACACCAAGTTTCTCTCTTATTCAGGCACATATCTGGTTCCTTTTAAGAAAAGTACATTTCCAGTCTCAAGAAGCAGTTTAATAGTTCCTATTCTTTTTACTTTACAAGTCATATTGTTTTCCATTATTACCTACCCCCCTAAGGTGGTTTCAAAATCAAGAAAACAATTTTTATTGGGACACATATGAAAGGAACAAACAGAGTCCAGAATCCACTCTTCACTCAGCTTCTTCTCATATGAACAAGGACTAAACCATCTTTAGGATCAATCTTATTATAGGCTAAGGTAGCATTCCTATTAGTGAAACTTTTATCTTTTACTTCATTCCTTTTCTTGTAACAATCTTTAATAAAATGGCCCATTTTACCACAATGAAAACATTTCTTACATTTTGCCTTATTCTTAGATTTATTCCTGTCACTCCATTTAGTCAAGTTCTCATTCAAAGACTTAGTGTGGAAATTAGGTTTACTAAACCCTTCACCTTTAGCAAGCAGGTTTTCTCCATTATGACTCCTAGTCTCAGACTTAATTTCAAGAGCATTATTTCTTAAAGCACTAATAATATCATCAGTAGTGATCTCAGCCCTACCATATTCATGAGTAACCTCGATGTCTCTATATTTGTCATTAATGGAGCTTAATAAGACTACAACCAACTGATTTTTTGAAAGTTTTTCATCACGGTTGGCTAAGTCAATGATCAGTTTAGTAAACATGATTACGTTTTCATCCAAGTCAACAAAGGGGTTCATTTTAAAAGAAAAGAGTTGCTTCAACAAAAAACATTTGTTAGGGATAGTCTTAGTCACATATTTGACTTGGAGTTTGGCCCATAGTTTAGAAGGGGTTTTGGTTTCACCGATTTCCCTCACAACATTATCAGATAAGTACAAGAAAATAGTACTCCATGCAACCTCTTCAAGTTCAATTTTCTTAGCAGGAAGTAAATCTGCAGGCCAACTATTATCAAGAGCCCTAGCAACTCTCATTTGCATTAAGATATCTTTCATCTTTTGACACCACATATTAAAATCACATTTACCATCAAATTGTGGAACTTCAAACTTAGCAGAAGCCATATTTGCAACAAGAATGATGCACAAGTAGGGATTCAAGATAATAGAAAGCACAATCAGAGACTTACAACAATTACAGTAGCTCAAGAAATCACAGTAACACACTTGGTAATATAAGATTTCAAGTTTCAATTAAAGTGACCAATGAAACATACAAGGCAAGCTCAATTAAAGAACACAACAGAGATCACAAGCTATTTTTCACAGATCACTCCAGCAAGATTCTCCAAGAACACACCTAAACTTGATTTATCTCAGATTCCCAGAGCCTCGTATGAGCTACTGGACAAAGATTAGTTTTAAAGGAGTTTCAACGGTGTTCTGAAAAATCAAGGGTATGATCAAGAAACCCTAAAAAAATTAAAAGCTTGTACAGAAATGAAAAAGATCTCACCCAGGGAGTTAGGTAAAACTCGATTTCTTTAACGTGCTTTTCAGCAGTTCCAAAAATTTTGATCTACAATAGATCGAACCATTTCTGTGAAGATCCAAGCAACTTGTTCTTTCAGTCCAGGCTCTGATACCACAGAAAAGGCCCAAGTCACACGATATTAAAACAAGATCTAAAACAATCAATCTCAAACAGAACGTAAAGTTACAGAAAATTAAAAGGTTGAGCACAAGATTTATTTCGACCTAAGCTCCGGACGTTAGGCTACCAAATCTAATGCCTACATCCCCCATTGAGCATCCAAAAATGGATATATGCTCGGTTGCACTATCGAGCCTAAAATGGCAACAATATTACATATCGTTCTTCAAATACAAGAGAAAGGCACAAAAGCACTTATCTCTAAACACCAAACTGCAGATCGAACGAAGGAATCACAAAAAATAGCCTTCAATAGCCTACTGCACTACAAGACTGCAAGAAACCCTTTATTCTCATAGCTGTCACAAAGACAACACATTAGAGAGGCTAAAACACTAATAGATCTTAGTTTACAATTCATCATAAGGGATGAAGAATACGAAGATCTCAAATCCTAGTTTACAAGAAAAGGGAAAGACTCTCAAAAGAACCTAGAAGAACGAGGCAGCTCAAAAGCCAGAGACCAGTGAATAAAATATCTAGCAAAGTGGTATATATATCACACACCAACAAACCACAGATCCAAGGGCCAGCAAATGACCAAGTGTCACCATCAGAAGAGAAGTTGCATTACTAAAAGAGTCGTATTTAGTACAAACGTTTTCAGTCAATTTTGGGAGCATATCACAAATCTGGGGTTCGAGCCTCAACAAGGTACTATGCTCTCCAACCTTTTATTTCATTGGCCAAGATGGGAGTAGAAAACGTCTACTCTCCACCTTGGAGGAGGCTATTAGGAAATAGAGGTTAACAGAGTAGTAGTTAGCAGCAAGACCACCTGGAAGGAAAAGAATTCTAGAAAATTTGGCTGTTAATTGGCATTACATTATACAACTTTGTACAGTCCATTTTTTGCTATGTTTCTTTTTCTTTTTAATTCTATATCTACCACTTGGCTAACAAAATTGGTTAGAGAATATTCTTTTGTAACTCCTTAAATATCAATCTTGTTGTACATGTTTGTCCCATTTTTTGTGTAGAATACATTTTGAAAATAATACATTAATGGAGAATGTGTTGTTGAAAATGAATGAAAGTTTTTGAGTTGTATGTTATTTTATTTTTATTAAAAAATGTGTAGTTGAAAAGAAATAGAACAATACATTTTTAAAAAAATGGAGATCAAACAAGACTTAGATACAATTTAAATTAATATAATAATAATAATAATAATAATAATAATAATGAATTGATACGTTCTAAACGGAACAATGCAGGCTGGACGGGAAATTTTATCATTCTACCAGCCACATGAACCCCTAGAACGAGCAAGATGAGCACAACCAATACTGAACTAGGTCGTGACTCAACCGAGATGGATTTCTGACATCCTTAGAGTCCGTTTAATTGCAAAAGTGTAAAATAAGTGCAAAAAAAATGTTTTACAGGAAATTCAATTGCCTAATAAATGTTTTACTGTGAATTATAATTAATTATTTTTTATTTGTATAATTTTTCATTAAAAAAATGTTGAAAGTTTGATGTCTGTTTAGCTTCTTTTTTATAGAAATTGTCTATTAAAATAATAATTTTTTGTATCATTGGATCTAGAATTTGTTCTAATTGCCAAAAAAAATTGAAATAAAAAATTATCATACCAGACACCATTCGTTTGACTTTATTTTGCATGAAAATCATCGTTAAAAGTGGATAAAAGTTTACCATTGTTTTTAGAATTTTTTTCAATTGTCCAAAAAAAAAAAAAATGTAGAGGAATTGATTTTCCTATAAATCAAGGAAAGTGGCACTTGAGAGCCACAACCAAGAAACAATTTGCCTAAAAAGAGAGACTATTAAACACTCAAAAAGTGGAAATTGAAATTTCTTTTCCATTTTTCATGAAAAATAATGATTAATCAAACATAGCCTTAGAGATTCTTCCCATTTTTGTTTTGGACCCTTGTCTTTCAATTTCTTTTCTAGAACTTGGGAATTCAATTTTTATTCATTTTGACTATATTTTGAAATAGATTCAACATGGTATAAATAAACAAATATCATAGTTAATCACGCAAAAATAGAAAAGAGACAATCCAGTAATTTAATTCCAAATAAACACTATTATTCTTGGGGAACTAAAGGAAAAATAACTAAAACTCTATAAAATAATCAAATAATTTCCCTAAAAACATTTGTATTAAATATTTAAGGATATCTTTTTATGTATGATCAGTTTCTGAGTTCAATAGCTTTAAATTTATACACATGAACAATCAGAATACGATCTATACTTTCAATTCAATTCATTATTTCAAAAAACCACATTCGATCGTATTTAACTTAATTAAAAACAGAAGAAACGTGACATATCTATTCATTGTCGAGTAAATATGCCCAAGTATTCTAACCCACCCCACCCCACCCCTTCTTCCTCTTAACAAAGAATGATTGTTAAACTGACATTTTACCAGATGAGGTCCCTGATCACAAGGCCGTTTCCACTTCTTTCTACGTACCTACAAGTAATGAACCTTCGATGCCAAGAGACTTTCATTTTCACTGAAGGCTCAAATAGAATCATCCTAGGCGTTTGAGACACAGCATTAAGGCATCTGTGTGCTCGGGCTTGCCAACAGACACTCGAACATAACCTGACAGTTCTTTATTATTGTAGTGACGAATCATAACGCCCATTTTCGCAAGGTCTTCCTGTAAGAAGCAGCAATGTCAACACAAGTTTTTCCCCCCAACAGAAACGAAAGAAAGCACAAAGCACAAGAGGCAACAGATGTGCAATGATCTTAATTGAATTTGCATTTCGATGTAGTTTCTGAACTTAAAACCAATTATGTGTGTTTTACTTGGATTTAGATATCAAGGTCAAGAGAATAATGAAAAAGAACACAAAAATAAGCACAAAAAGAATCCAGGTCGGAACGCAATGAAATTAAGGGGAAAACAAAAACAGAATATATCAAGAACAACAAGAACCCTGAGAGCAAGGCAAAGTTATGTACCTTCAACTTCTTAGCATCCATTCCTGATGTAACCTCACAAAGAATGAAATTAGAATAGCTTGGATATGGATTGAGAAATGGTACTTCTTTCAAAAGTTTAAAGAGTCTCTCCCTTTCTTGCACCAAAGCCACTTTAACGTTCTGGAATAGATAATGTAATACATATTGGCATTCAAAGTCAAAGATTGCTACTTCATGGACTCTCAAGGTCAACAAATAAGAGGCTAATTGCCAAACTAGCGTTTGATATTGTACCTCTAGATACTCGGGATTCTTTAAGGCTGCACATGCAGAAATTTCAGCAGCAACAGACACATTATATGGTTGCTTAGCCCTCCACAAATATTCAATAATGCTCAATGGAAATGCTCCATAACCAACTCGAAGTCCCGCTAAACCTGAATCACCGGGTATTAATGGTAAGCATGAGTTTCGCACATATGTATATGTATATGTATATGTATATGCATATGCATATGTATGTGTGTGCGCGCGCAATATGTTTTCTTAACCTACTGAGAACTGGAAGCATTCTGAATCGGTCTGTTAAGGATGTTGATAGGCTTAATTCAGAGGCAAGAACCTAATGAAGCTATCCATTGGAACTCAAGAATGAGAAACTAGATATAGAAGTGTTGAATTCAAGAAGTTGGTTCAAATTTTGATGTCATTTGAAGATGAGCATTTGGTTCAGAGCTGACTACCATTAGTTTAGGTCTCTGGAAAGTTTAGTATCAGTTTCTTGAGGATTCCTTACATTTCTGAATGCCATGAAATCTATGAGCAACTTCATAAAATCAGTATAATATATTGCATGATTAACTGGAATCCCTAGGCTATGCTCAAAATATGTTTCGGATTCGTATAAGGAAATTATTCTACTAAAGAAGCCTTCGTAACTTAGTCTTACAGTTTCTACATTGGAGTGTAAGTATCAGATGGGTATCAGTTGAAACCTACCCATGAGCCATTTAAATTTATAGCATGCTTAGCTCTTCCAAAAAATTATAGTTTTACAGCCTTTGAAGCTTCATTTTATATAATGTGAGCTCTTTGAAATAAAAAGGTACAGTACCAGCTCTTTTGCTGAATGTCCGAAGTACAATTAGATTCTCATATTTCTTCACCCAGCTCATCCTAGACTCAATTCCAGAAAATTCAATGTACGCTTCATCCAGCACAACCAATACTGGCAGAGCAAGTATTTTCAACAGGGTTTCATCATTGATTATACTGTCAAATAAGAAAAAAATATACGTTGGAATACATGAAGGGCAAAAGGAAGGTAACTTGATAATTCATGTCTTTCCATAATAATGAGAAGAAAAAAAAAATCAGACGGACTGCAAAATAGTAATTAAGCAACAACTTCATATAATTGCAAAAGCCACAGATTCACTCAAAAATTTTGAACTTTGAAAGTCATGTTACTGTTTACAAACCACCCATAATCTACAATAGGGGCCTTATAAAACAATTTGATCCTTGTTCATGGAACTGTATTCTTATTCAAAACAGGCGACGCTCCGAAAAGTCAGGTCGTAAAACAGTTCATAAGGAATCAGAAGCAAGCAGAGTCATGGAAAGAAAGTCCGGGAAACCAGGATGTACGATTGGCTATCCATTTCTTTCTGTTTACAAGATATTAGTCCCGCAAGATCGTGATCTACTTCTTTCGTATAGCTCAGAAAGCAAAATAGTGAAGTAAGCTGAAGGGAGTCCTCAAGTCTTCAAGACTAGTGAATCCACTAGGGAAAACGGAATTCTAAAAGAACTCAAATATTAACAATTAGAAACACACTTGTAAGAATGTACATGATGTTTCATATAACAGAACTTGTCTTTTCCTATTCTGAATTTTACACAACCATAGCTCATAATGGTCATATCCCCTCCTCTCATTCTACTTGCTTTTTTGTCCTTTTTTTAATCGTTTTTAAGTTTTTCAAATTTCCAACTTGCAAGATCGAGCCATGTATCCATACTACTGGAGTGAAAAAAATTCCTTTTTGACATCCCCAGCACAGTTTCAAAATAGCTACTAACCCTTATAAAGTGCCTATGGTCAGGGCAAACTATTGTCAACAAATATGTTACTCTTACCTATTTTTTGATGAGTCAAATATTTTAGGTACATAGTGAAACTCAAGTGCCAAGCCCCAAATTTATAGGAAACAAGGCCTAGTTTGTTGTTCAAATTAATATTCAATTATAATTTCTGAAAAAGAACAGACTAGTATTCCTATGCATCGAACATGTTTCCTGCCCACTGGTAGTCAGTGCAAAAAATAAGACATACATATGGCAACATAATGGTGATTACTGAAAACTCATACCATGTCAGGAGCAGACACCTGAAACAATAAGAAACATATTGACCGAGAATATGTTTCATAGTAACAAAAAGAAAAAACTTGGCACAGAAAAACAGAACAAATATGTCAAAACTAAATGACCGTTCAAAGCATGGTTTGAAATTTTAACAGCAGAAAACAAGAGAAAGGACCGACAAACAAATGGACTCATCACATGGTACCTCCCATCTGGATTATTAGGTGAAGTTAGGAATATGCACTTAGGTCTCTCCTGCTCAACAACTTCGGCAATCTGTTCTACATCCAAGCTGAAGTCCGACTTCCGAGACACTGCCAAATGCATGGATATTGGATGAGAATGAAACAGTTTGGCTCGTGTTGCCAAATCATATCTTTAGTTATATATATGTGTGTGTGTGTGTATATATATGTGTGTGTATATATATATATATATATATGTGTGTGTGTGTGTGTGATGCGGACATCACTGAGATTTAATTTTTATTGTTATTGGATTTTATCATTTATGTTTTCTAGTTTTATTGTTATTGAGCTTGTAGTAGTGGGTTGGCCCAAACCCATCACTTAGCTAGGTTTTTACTATTTATATGGTTTTGACGTTATTATTTAGACAGTTTATGAATATGATGATATGAAATGGCTCATGCAAATGTTTTCTTCCCTTTCCCCTAATTTTTTTCTTCCGACTTCTCCCCTACTTTCTTCTTCTTATTTCTCTTCTCTTGTTCTTCTAGTTTGATAATTAACTCCCTATTGATCCTGCATTAAATTTGGTATCAGAGCCAAACCTGGATTCCATCTTCAATTTGCACCTGAGAACACATAATTCCCTTCCCTGCATGAGCTTCACCCTCTCCCCAAAACCATCAATTCCAATCACCTTCGACTAGTCAGTATAATTATCACCAAATTAAAAAAGAAAAAAAGACACCAAATCCAATCTATACGCCTACTACACAGCTCCAAACCTTCAAATCCACCTTCACCCGAACCGCACGTGAGCTGCCTCACCGTCCACCGCTGACATCACCACATTTCGCTGCCACAGTCGCCGGCTCGACACCGTCACAAACAAAAAAAAATAGCAAGAAGAACAATTGCAGTGGAGAGTCGCGCCGCCGGAGGAAGGACTCTGCACCGGCCTCCCAATTGGGTCACGTCTAGGGTTTGGTCCAGCTTTGTTTAGTTCATTTGATTTGCTAATTGGGCCTTAGTTTAGGCTTTTGAATCTTTTTGTTTAGTTTATTTGATTTGCTAATTGGGCATCAATTTGGCCTCCATTTTATTATCAAGTGTGATTTGTTCTATTTTTGTCAATTCGGCTCAATCTCTCGATGGGACTCAGTGTGTGTCTTGTTTGTCTTGTACATCTTAATTTTAGTCATTTGGGCCTCGATTTGGGCCCTTATTTTTATTATACTGTGTAATTTGTTTTAGTTGAAAAAAAGGTGAGAAAAAAATAGTGTGAATAAAAAAAAAAAAGACGGAATTTTCTATCGTTAATTGTAGTGAATTTTATTCTTGTTGCTTGATGGCCACTCACACGATTCAGTTGCCGCCTTGCCACCATAGCAATGCCAAATGGAAAATCATGATTGGAGTATCGTTGGATTTTTTAAATCTCGTGAGGTAACAATTTTATTGTATTGAATATGTACTTTTATTTTAGTGTTTTGGCTTGTCGATTTTAAGAATTAAAAAAAAAAATGTTATGGCATGAATACCAAACGGTAGGAGTCCAATTGTTAACAAATGGAAGAAAACTTCTTCAATCTTCATTACCTTTTAATGAGCTCCTATCGTTACTTGAATATACTGAGTATTTACTTTCCCAAGTGGATCAATTGCCTGCTGTTTCCATGCTCACATCTATTAATACACTTAGCACAGCATTGGTCTCAAATAAACTATTAAGACATCCTGATTTTGCTATACAAGTAGCAGTTGTTTCTTGCCTTGGTGAAATATTC